ATTGAAATAACATGAAAGTACATATGAGTGAATTTAAATTGCATTAAAGGTAAAGTACCAGAGAAAGTAAAGAAAGCGGTAATAAAAATCAATGAAAATGGAAATCCAGAGCGCCGTAAACTTCATGATTTGTCGTTCTCCAGTAGACTTTTCACTTGTGTTTCTGCTGTCTCTGTCAATTTTCCCTTCTTCTTCATGATTCATTCTATTTATAGGCATGTTTCAACGTAACCTCTTAAGAGTGGTTAAAAAACCGCTACCACGTTCTATGTGCACGTTTAACTATCCTTCAATTTCCACCTTAGCCACAGTTAAAAAATCGCTTCCCATGTTCCATGTGCACGTTAACCGTTCCTCGATTTCTAACTTAACCACGATTTGGAAAACCGCTTCCCATGTTCTATGTGCACTTTAACCATTCTCCTCGATCTCGATTCCAGACATCGAGTACTTTGAACTGCTTCTGATTTCTCTTAAACTTAACTTTACACTCAATACTTTATTATCGATTTCTTACTCTCAATCATGTTCATCGAATTTCCTCTATCTTCTTTCGATTCTCGATTTTCCCCAACATACTGTTATCGAATTTTCTTCTTTCGATTTCGATTCAGATTCTCGATTTTCCTCAGCAATAATCATCGAATTCCTTCTTTCGATTTTCGATCTTGATTCTCGATTTTCCTTAGCAATAATCATCGAATTCCTTCTTTCAATTTTCGATCTCGATTTTTCTCAACAATAATCATCGAATTCCTTCTTTCGATTTTCGATCTCGATTTTTTCCCACCAACAGTAATCAAGGAAGAATGGTTTAGTTCATTCCTGCACTATCCGAGGGGAACTAATTTTTGTCTAAGTTCATTGTGATGTAAGTTGGTTTGACAAATGATGTCGTTGCCCGTTCAAATAAGCCATTATGTACCATTCTTTTTTTTTTCATTGTTTCCTCTTTGTTTTCATTTTAAATTTTGTTTATAGATGTTGAACTGATTTTATTTTTCATTTTACTTTGAACTGGTTCTGTAGTGAATGAAATCAATCCTTTATAGTCATTTTGATCCTTGATACTGGCGGGTAGCTCGGTTAGATATTGTGGTGCAAAATTTGTGCTCAATTAGATTACAAGTTGTTGGTTTGTTCGGTGGTGCAGAATTTTTATTGTTCAGTGTTGGTAATGTTGGAATATTTGGTGCGTGCGTGGTGCTATGATACTTTGAAGCAGTTGGCTGGCAGTATAGTTTATTGGTGAAAGAAATTGAAGCAGTGCAGTACTTTTAATCTAAGCAGCTTGATATTAATCGGAGTGATGAAATCAATCACTCAATTGAATTGAAGCAAGAACCAATTAATAATATGATAAAATATTTCAATTATAAATGTTTCATTTTACTTCCTACTCTTACCATTTATTTTATATTTGACTAATAAATTATGAAGGAATAAAATTTACTGTTTATTTATGAAATTAAAACAACGTGGGTTAACTTATAGATAGATATATTAATATATAATTATCGATAAACAAAATTTTTAGTAATTATTAAGGGACTATTAGTCAGTAAGTGTCACTTAATACAAAATACTCACCACACTTTATCGACAAATTACTATTATATTCATCGGTACTTACCAACAAACTTGCGAAATATTTAGGTAAATAACGCACATAATAACAAGTAATTTATTGGTGGATAAATTCGTCAATAATTATCACTAAACAAAGCCTTTGATAATTAGTATATCTGTTAGTAAGTATCATTGAATACAAAATACTCAACACACTTTACCAATAGATTTTTTCAATTGTTATATACGTCGGTAATTACCGATGAGCTACCAAAATTCATTGTTAAATGATGCACATAATAACACGTAATATATTGATGAATAAATCTGTCGATAAATATTAACACACAAAGTCTTTGGTAATTACCGATGGATATTTGTCAGTAAGTGTTACTTAATAAAAAATACCACATTTTACCGATGAAATTTTTCTTCTGTTATATTCGATTATCAATGGGCGCGAAATACATCAATAAATGATGCACATAATAATACGTAATTTATGGATGAATAAATCGGTCAATAATTATCAACCGACAAAACCTTCTATAATTATCGACGGATTAGCTATCAATAAGTGTCATTTAATACAAACACTCACCACACTTAACCGATGAATTTTTTCTACTATTATATTCATTGGTAATTATTGATGGGCTAACAAAATCCGTCAATAAATGATCCACATATTAACACATAATTTTTTGATGGATAAATTTATCGTCGATAATTACCGACGGATTATCCATCTGTAAGTGTCACTTAATACAAAACATTCACCACTTTACCGATGAAATTTGTGTAATATTATATATGTAAATAATTATCAATGAGCTTACGAAATCTATCGGTAAATAATGCACATATTAACACGTAATTTATTTTTATGGATAAATTCATCGATAATTATTGAAGGAAAAAGTCTTTAGTAATTACGAATGGATAATTGTCCCTAAACACAAAACACTCACCACATTTTACTGATGAAATTTTTCTTCTGTTATATTTGTATGTAATTACCGACAAGATAGTGAAATTCGTTGGTTAATGTTGCACATAATAACACGTAATTGTTGATGGATAAATTCATCTGTAATTATCGATGAACCAAGTCTTCAGTAATTACCAACGAATTATCCGTCAATAAGTGTCACTTAACACAAAACACTCACCACATTTTACCAACAAAACTTTTCTTCTGTTATATCCATGGATAATTACTGACGGGGTTGTGAAATCCATCGATAAATGACGCACATAATAACACATTATTTATTGACGAATAAATTCATCATTAATTAGGACAAAGCCTTCAATAATTATCGACGAATTATTCATCAGTAAGTTTCACTGAATACAAAACACTCATCACATTTTACCGACAAAATTTTTATTTTGTTATATTTGTTAATTACGATAGACTAGCAAAATTCGTCAATAAATGATGCACATCATAACATGTAATTAATGGACGGATAAATACGTTGATAATTATCGATTGATAAAGCCTTTGGTAATTATCTATGGATTATCCGTCTGTCTCTGAATACAAAACATTCATGATGTAAAATAAAGTAAGTGCAAAATTTTAAGAAGATAAGATGCAAAATTTTAAACAATAAAATAAGCAAATCCAAGAAAAATTCTCACTCGACATTAAGATAATTTTTTATCTAGGTGTGAAGGTTTATTTTCAAAGATTATGGAGGGAGGAGGAGATGGAATAAAATTAGAAAATAATAAAAACAAAGGCTAGAAAAATGGATCAGCCCCTTGGATAAATAAATGGAGTGAAGAAATAAAGAAGAAAAGATGAAGAGAAAATAAGTATGGTGGTGGTGGAGTGTTGGAACGCCACTAAGGGAAGAGTCACCCTAGATAAGTGGTGATTGTTGTCACTTAAACCAATGTTCAAGATAAGACACTAAAAAAGATTAAACACTCTAAGAAATCTTACAAACTTGTCATAAATGTTCAACCTAATTATATGAGGGAAACATTTTATTTATAGGTTTTTGGGAGAGGGACCTAGATGGAATTAAAAAAGGAGACGTAAACTTAACCTAAACCTAAAGACTAGAGTCTCATGGTCCAAATATGTTAAATTTGTCCTAACCCACCAAAAATACCTCTAAAGTTGTGGAAAACATGCAAAAAAGATGTATGCTTCCATGTGACACCCCGGGCGCTGACGAGGGCAGGGAGTGATCACCGGTGCAGTGAGGCACAGATAATGAGTGGCTCCTGGCAGGCTTCTAGTGGAAGGGTCATATGAATGAACTGAAACACACCCGAAGCAGAGCGATCCAGAGGTTGTATAGGTATGGGATTATACAGTTGAAGGATAACTTAAGAAAATTTATTGGTACTACCTATATTAACAAAATGCATTTACTTTTCGGTGGCTTATCACATAAAAACTCCATAGTTAAGCGTACTTGACTTGGAGAAATTGTGGGATGAGTAACCTTCTAGGAAGTTCTCAGAAAGTGTGTGAGTGAGGACAAAGCACACTGAAAAGTCTTGTGTTGGGTTGCGGGGATAGTCGACAATTTCGTACAAGCGACTGGGGCGTTATACTTCCTTTTGGATTGTTCCAAGTCTACCAATCTTTCATCTCTAGCTTCTTCCTCGCCAAAAAGGAGTATAAGACATGAAAAATGAATGTACTATACTTTTAGGCTGCTCATGTACATACATTTTACTGAGGGATACTTCGTCAATAAGTGTCACTTAATACATTTTACCAACAAAATTTTTCTTCTATTATATCCTTGGATAATTATCAATGGGCTTGCCATATTCATTAATAAATGATGCATATAATAACACGTAATTTATTGACGAACAAATTTGTTAGTAATTATTAGTGGACAAAACCTTCAATAATTACCAACAAAATATTCGTAAGTAAGTGTCACTTAATACAAAACATTCACCACACTTACAAAACATTCACCACACTTTACCAACCAATAATTTTACTGTTATATTCATTGGTAATTACCGATGGTTGTGAAATTCATCAGTAAATGATGCACACACTACAAAAAATTTCATAATTATTAGAGGTTTATTTTCAGCAGTTATAAAAATCGTAAAAATTAAATGTAATTTATGACAAAAAATTTAACTGACACAATAATTATAATTAATTTTAAATTTTTTTATTTTATTTTTATTTATTTTCATTTTTCATTCTCTCACTTTCTTCTACCTTCTCTTTCTCTCTTCGTTATCTCTTTCTCTTTTTACCGTTTCATTCATTTTCACACTCATCTTTCACTGTAATGTTTCATCCTTCACTGCAAGGTAACATATCCTCTCTCAATCACCAATTCAGGTTTAATCCTTCTTACGTTTTACTTTTCAATTTCACATGTTTGTGATTTTTGTGGAAAATTACAAGAGTTTTATCTATCATTTGTTCTTCAATTTACAGTATATGCTAATTTCTCCTTCTCTTCTCTGTGTGACGCATGGCAATCTACATTCAACCGTTTTTTGTTTTTCCTTAACCTCGGGTACGAAACTTTTAATATTTTCGTTGTATTTTGTTGTTGTTCTGTTTGTATTTCGAGCCGTGTACGGCGGCGTACGGCGGCGCGTTGGTCTCCAATCTCTCCAAGACGGACACTCGGACGGCGTTGCCGCTTCGGAGCTAACGCCGGAGGGGCGACGATGTCGGTGCTCGGCTGCGATGCAGTTGCTGTAGCCGGCGGAGCCGTTTCCTCTGCGACGTCCGGTGCGGAGGGGATTGGAGGGTCCGGCGGTGGGGGATTGGTTTCGGGCACTTCCGCCATTGTGGTCACAGTGGCAGTGGCGGAGTGCGTAGGATAAGGGAGACGGGGAGTTTTCTGGTGCGGTAGGGTGCAAGGGTACAATTACCTCTAAGATTTTGCGCCGTTGGATAGTTATTATGCGGTTTTTGGTCCTGCATCCAGTTTCCTTGTTTGAGTTTATATTTTTAGTTAAGTTTATATAGCACCTCACTAGTTTTCTTGGAGGTTTAAAATTTAAGTTGTCTTGTGTTGATAACTAGCTTGTATGTCTATAGGTGGTTAATTTTTTCACGTGGTCTTTTAGAATAGGTACCGAACATAAGAAGTTTGGTTTTGAGTTTGGAAACTTGCGTCCTATGAAATATGAGCAAATAGCAGAATTGCTGAATGGCATTGTCGAGAGATTTGACTGGGATAAAATAATGGAAGATGATAAAATTATTGGACTGAAACGTGTTTGTGAAGTGTCTTTGAGAATGGGAAACAAACACAGAGGAAATGTGACTGAAGTGAAGTGAAGTGAAGGAGAAGGTGCTCTGTTAGATTATTTATACAATGCTCTTTCTAGATTTATACAAAACTCTTTAGACCTTTTGTCCTCTATCAATTTATAATTAATGGCCCACACATTCATGTTTTCACCCCTTTGATGCAGGTAAAGTTCTTGTCATTTATATAGTTGTACTCCTCTTCATCACTTTCTTCACTTTTCATCATATTTATCACCATAGCTCTCCAATTCTACTACTTACATAAGTTTAAATGGATTGTAACTTCAAGTGAGAGTGTCCACACTAGGCCATTCTACTTTTTAAATGAGTGATTTTTATAAAGCCTCCATTCACTGCTAAATATAAAACTTACAGATTTTTCTGACTTGTTTAAAGCCACTTTGGAACTAATCAAAGGTAGAGTGGTTACTTTTGATGTATGGTGATATTTTATACTTCATGGATATTCATCATTAAAGGTTGCTGCTGTTTATTTTGGTCTGACTGTCTAAGGAGAAATACTTTTGTCATTAATTCCAGATAACGGTTTACAACAACATGGGATGGTCCGGAGGAAGCCAGGTCGTGGTGATACAACCCTGTCAGTTAGTTGCTCTGACAAGATAGCTCGTTGGAATGTAGTTGGTGTTCAAGGTTAGATATGCTTAAACCAGGGATGTTTGCATGTTGGTAGTTCTTGCTTGAAAATCAGTTGTGATGTGATATTTATAAATTATATACTCCTTTTCTACAACAACAATTTAATACAGCAAAGGGAAGATCAAGGAAATTGAGGTTTTTATTGTTTGTATAATTGTAAATATTCTACATCAACTTGGCTATATGATTTTGATACTTGTTTTATATTTACTTATTTATTTTCCATAAATCTTGTGCTTTTTTTATATTAGTAGGGCCTAAATTTCTAATTTGATTGTAAACACAACATTGAGCTTTCAGGTGTATCATAGGCTATCTATCACAGAACAATTTAGTCAATTTTGAAAACATGAAAATTAGAGTTTTGTGTTGGTGTGATAGTGTTAGATATATGGATATGAACATGAATTAGAATAGTGTGGTTGGGTTTGGTTGTATTCCTGTCATGTAAGCTAAGTGTTTTGACACTGTTCTTCTTATTGCAGGAGCATTACTTTCCTACTTTCTTCAACCTGTATATCTTTCTTCAATCACTGTTGGTCTTCCCCTTAACAGTCCTGAGAATTTTCATTTAGAGGATAACTTGAAAAGAGCTTTATATGAACGTATCCTGCCCATATCGAATGAACTGACATCCCCGTTTATAGTGAACCAAGTCTATGGAATATTTGTTATCTTAGAGAGAAAGAAAAGTGCGTTGTAGGATACTGACTTTTATGTCATTTGTCGTTCCATAGCCAATATTTCACGCTGCACCAGTACCACCAAAGGACTTTCAGCAATCTGAGAGTGCTGCCAACACTTTAACATGCGGGTACATACAGCAAATGTTGGAAATTGTAAAGTTAATGCAGCTTTCTGCATCGGTGTTGCATTTAGCTGAATGATTAGCATTGCAGATATTCTATATGTTGGAATGAATGTGGCTTGCATGAAGTCATCCTGGGAACCACCGGAAGAAAGCAAGGCACCTCCGCAAAAGGGGCACTCTATCCATCCACACAGTCATCTTTATGCAAGTGAGTGCTGCTGAGCTGACATGTATGTAGTAGAAATTTTACTTGTGAAGCGCCAATAATATTACAGTTATCACTACCTCCAACCCAATAGAAACAAGTAACTAGTTTATCAAGACCAATAAAAATAGTTAATTTAATTCATTTTACCCATTTGTTTCTTATTTAAAAGACCAGAGGAGGTAATAAATATCAATTTTGCAGAAAGAGGGTGTTGGAGGGTTTCTTGTCACTGCTGAGACAGGAAAATTTGACGTATGGTGAGCGATATTGTTCACTTTGCATGTCAAATAAGTATAGAAATGGAAAGATGAATTTGTGGAACCGAGTCTATGATAGCTCATTATCAAGAGAGCAATTAATTGCTAATGTTCTTAATGGTATTCACAAAGATCAGTGGTCTTCATTTGTTGATTATCATCTAAGTTCAAAATATAAGGTAGTTATAACAAATAATTGTTATCAATAATTATTTTTTAAACTTGGTTTTGAATTAATAAGTTGTTTGTTTCATAGGAATTATGTAAGAGAAATATTGAAGTCAGAAAAAAACAAAAGATTCCTCATACCGATGGTGCAAAACTTTTATCTACAAAACAGCATGAAATGGTAAATTATTTTTGTTTTATTGTTAAATTTAACAAAAAAAATTATAGTATTCTTCTAAACTTATATGATCATGTATATTATAGGAAATAAATCTTGGACGTGTTGTAGGCCGAGGAGAATTGTACATTGCAACTCACAAGAAAAAAAATGGATCTTATGTTAACGAGGAGGCAAGATCTATAGTGGTAAGTTTAATAACAAGTAATGTGTTTAAACATGTGAAATTATACTCTTTCTATACATATGCCTTCTGGTTTTGAAGCTTTGCATCTAGGATTCCAATTTCCAACCACATATTTCAACAGCGTATGGGGTAAACTTTGTCTTGTTTCAGTTTCTATATTTTTACCCAGAATCATATCATAAATCATAAACATATAGAATGTTTGAGTTTAAGTTGTATTATTTAGTGTGGTCATACTGATGTTATTGTTGAAAACAACTTTGTTGAGACAAAATGTAATTAAAGGGATGTGCTTATTTTACCTTATTTTACCTTAATTAAAGACAAATATCATGACTTTGCATCTATCTTATTTTACAACCTCCTTTGTATAATATTAATATGAATATCAAACAATTGTATTTATTCTATTTACAGGAGAAAATAACACAATAAATGAGTCAAAGTGTCACTTTTACAGAAATTTCAGCTAATGATTGCGTTAGTAAAGTGCTGGGAAAGGATCATCGTGGGCGTGTACGTTGTCTAGGACTAGGAGGTCTTCATAGTGTTGCATTTCAGTCTACCACAAGATTTAGCAGTGCAGGGTGCAATTTCTCAAATTCCGATTCGAGTGGAAATTCTCAATTGAAAGAGGAAGTTATTCATTTAAGAGAAAAATTAGCAACTTCCGAAGAAAATGTCAAAACATTAAAAAGTGTCATGCTTGCATACATCCAAATGAAAGAAGGACACATTCCTCCCGAGTTGGGTGTCATGTTTGGTAGTACAAGTAATATAGTTGTAAGTACTTTATAGTTTGTTTTAAATGAAATTATATTATTCAATACCTGTATAAAGTTCAATATCTTATGTATAATTTCTAATTATGCTTATGATCTTTATTTTATAGGATGAAGAGAGTGGACAAGATATGTCAACACCACAAGGAGAATCTTCTTTAGATAGTAATTTTCATAAAGTTTGACATTATATGTAAGTATTTCATATTTTGTGTTAATAGAATTATGTTGTTAATTATTTTTATGGAGTTTAATATCTTTTATATATATTTTTAACTATATTAAGATGATATTATTTTTATTTCACAGGATGAAGCAAGTGAATGAAATATGTCAATATCATAGGAGGATACTCATTGGATAATAATTTTCATTAAGTTTGACATATATGTTATGAAATTTGTGGATCTATTGACATTGTATTTTGTTAGATACTCTTTATTAATGAATAATGTGATGAATTTTATTGGACTTTTAGGATGAAATTTGATTTTATCTTAGTTAATATTGAATTATATTTAGTTAAGTACTCTCTCAAAGTGAATTATATATAAAAACTACAAATTTAACCATTTTTTAGTGAGAATCAAACTAATATTTTATGTCATTAAAACAAATGAAAAATATATTATACATTTCATTAGATTATTGATTTTATTATAATGATTAAATTATTATTACACTTATGGTGGTATTTTAAAGTAATTCTAAATAAAAAAGTATTTTAATTATTAATTATAAAATTATTAAAAATAATTTGTAAATAATAATTAAAATTTTGATTTATTGATAAAATAATTAAAAAATAGTAATTAAATAATTTTTGGTGGTTTTTTAAACCTTCAATAAGTTTTAAATAATTATAAAATATTATATATTTTGTAGCGGTTTTTAATTGTTGAAATATAAAATTAATTATAAAAATAACATTTGTAACAATTTCAAATTGCAACAAAATGTTAAATTAAAATGAAAATAATAATGTATTTTATGGCGGTTTTTAACTCGTTGAAATTTTTGTTTTTCTTTTTTGACATAAATACCAGCATTTAAAAAAATTCTGTTACAAATCGTTTTTGACATCTATAAATATGACAGTTATATTAATTGTTACAAATTTTATTTGTAGCGGTTTTTAACTTCTAAAATCTACAATTTTAACCGCTATAAATAACATATTTTTTTGTAGTGACATAATAACATATAATTTATTGATAAATAAATCCTTCAGTCATTATTGAATAATAAAGTCTTCAATAATTACCGATGAATCATTTTTAATAAGTGTCACCGGATACAAAACACTCACCACACTTTATTGATAGAATTTTTTACTAATATATCTGTCAATAATTATCAACGGTTTATCAAATCCGTCCATAATTTTTTTCTGACAACAATATTCCTGACAAATTTTCAAGGATTCCGACATTACTATCGGTAAAGCCAATATATTTTGTAGTGATAGTAATTGTCTTTTATTTTTGATCTTTTATATATATATATATATATATATATATTTGTAAAAAAATAATATATAAATATGATGATTAAAAAAATTATTTTATATACTAGTAATAAAAACACATTCATAAAGTATTTGTGTATCATAATTTTTGTATATTATTAGTTTTTTAATATAATATAGATATAGATAAAAACAAAAAAACAAAAATTTAATAATATTTAACATAACTTATATATAATTTTACAGTGAAAAAAATATTATACTTATAATATTTGAAAATTATATATTTTCATGCAAACAAAATGGTTATTTGCTAATTACATATAACTTTAAAATATTTTGTAATAACATAAAATTATATATCAACAATATAATAAAATATTTGTCAATTAAAATAAAATTATATATCAACAATATAATAAAATTTATATTAGTTTTAATCAATAACATAAAAACACGTAAGAAGGTTTATCTAGTTGAGTTATATAGTATGATTATTAATTAGTGTTTTGAGGGAACAAATCACTCATTGGAGAAGTTAATCATCTTCTTTTGGAATTAGTGCAACAGAATTAGTTTCCTAAAATGTGATCAAGTAAGATTAAATTTTGTTCAAAAGTAAGTCGTGAGTTTTAATAATAATAATAATAATAATAATAATAATAATAATAATAATAATAATAATAATAATAATAATAATAAATTAAAGATATTTTATAATTAAAGTTTACGGATTATTATTTTAGTTAATTTTATATATAAAGTTACGTTTTATATTTACTTTCTTTTTCTCAGTTATATTTAAATAAATAATTTTTTATATTATTAGTAAATTACAATTTAATTTTAAAAACAAAATGTGTATAATTTTAAAATTTTAATGATAAAATTAACGAAATTGAAAGAATAATTGTAAAATTCTTGAAATTAGAAGTTTAATAATAATATCTATAAAATTTAAATTTTCATGATACAATTTACAATATTATGCAATTAAAATGTAAATTAAAAAATAATCTTTACTTTATCTTAAATTAAAAATAAACTCATCACAACATTATCTTATTATGTCGCTAATTTACAAATAGGTAATATGTATAATTTAAAATTGTAGATAACAATTTTTTGTGAATTTTGAAATTTAAGATAACATGGGAAATAAATATATATATATATATATATATATATATATATATATATAAAATGACTGGTAAATATATATAATTATATTTTGAAATGAAAAAAAAATGCAATTTACATGTCCGTGCCACATGAATAAATTTTGACAAAATTTGAGTTCGTGGGTCTCTTCCATGAACCTCTTTATTATATAATTTTAGGAAAATAAATATAGATTTAACCTATTCTTATAAAATTAAATTATAATCTTGTTTATGTAACTTTTTAAAAATAGATAAACATTTAATGTAATATTATAAAATTAACTTATAAAATAAAATTTTATTTTAATTGTATATTATAGTTTAAGCATATCCTTTAATCATAGTATAAACATGTGAGATCTCCAACCATGACTATGATTAAATAATGTTAATTATATTCTTCATCTCCAATTTAAACTTTTTTGACAAAAATCTTGCTAAGTTATGAAAATTTCACTTGTTTTCTTTAAATATTTAACTGAATTAGACTATTTAAAAATTATTTATTTTATTTCCTTTTCTTCTCATTCCCACCTAACTTATTTTTTCTTCATTAACTTTGTTTTCTCACCTCAAAGTTAATAAATTATGTCACTTTCATTTCCTATTCAAAGCTAAAAAAAAAACAAGATCTCGCGGCATTTCCTACTCATTCCACGTGAGTGAAGTTATTATCGTATTTTTTTGTGATTATCTTTTTTTGTTACTTATTCTCTCTTTCTTTGTACTATTTTTCTTCATCTTTTTGTTTCTTTTGAATTTTCCCCTCGTACTATTGTTGTCTTTCTTTTTTAAGATGATATGGAATCCTCGTCCTTTAATATTCGATTTTGTTATAAATGATTGTGTTAAATATTTTCTCATATTTATATTTAAACTCATTTTATAAAAAAGTATAATTTTTGTCTTTGTAAAATTTTGATGGTAGATTTAACTTTTTTAATTTTTTTTTAAATTACGCAATTTTTTCACTAATTATATATGATTCAATTATAAAAAAAATTATATTATTATAATTTTCATGAATAAGTAATTCTCATTGTTATTTTAAATTCTAAATATCAAAGGCTCTAATTTAAGATGAGATAAGGAGTGAAATTTAAAATTTGACGGATTAAGTTGAAAAAGTGTTAAAAATAGAAAAATTTAATAATTTAAATTTTATTTTCACAAAACCATTGTATATCTACAATTCTTTTTATGATTTTTTTTTTCTAGCTTTTTCACTCATTCTTTCACTTTTGTGCCTAATCAAAATTTTAAATAATGGAAGTTTCACTTTATCCAATTTTAGAATATTTATGTGAGTGTATATGTGTTGATTTTAATTAAATTTGAATGTAAGTTTATAAATTTGTTATTATGATATTAAAATGATAATATTATTTATGGATGTATTGTACTTAGATTGAATTTAAGGAAATGATTTATAATTTATAAGATAATATTTTTATTCAATTTGAATTAGAACTTTAAAAATAAGATATTAAATAATTTATGTAGTTTAATATTGATATGAATCCACCTAATAAATTTAATTTCTCCCAACAAATTTAAGAGTGTTAAAAGTGCTTAAATTTTGCTTATCTCGCTTTTAAATGTTTCATATGTACAAATTGCAGTTTTGAAAATAAAGAATTCTATCAAACAAAAATTAGTAAACAAAGATATTTATAGATAAAGTTATCATCAAAAGAATAGCCCTTAGTTAAATCATATAAATATAATTTTGTTGTAATTTAAAAAATGATATCTATATGACTTAAAATGTTATAACATATGGTGTGAGCACGAAATGATGTGTGTTAAGTATTATTATATACATGCAACAAAAAATATTTTATTATAATGTGAGAAATGTCAATGAGTATTCTCAGGACTTGATGAAAAATCTTGATTTTACTGATTACTAAAATTATACTAGATTAAATGATCAAGTGGTAAGAGTTAAAGGATGTTTATAATGAAAGCTTGCAATGTGAAGAAAATTTGTTTCTTGATAAGTCATTTAAAAATTTACCTTAATCATACAATGTGTATAACAAATTGAATACATTTAAGTTTAATATTATGGAAGGTATCAATCTCTAATGTCTAATTCAATATTTAATCTTTTTAAAAGTCATCAAATATTTATGTGATGTATTATTAGGCTTGTATAGGTGTAATGTTATCCTTGAAAACGTTGATTCTTATTGTGTTGTTTTATATCATAGTTGAATTTTATATGCTTAAATTAAATTAAAAGTATAATATATGGTGTGTGTTTTATTTGTTATTTTAGAATGTAAAGATAGTGTATTTAGGGTAAACAAAACCAATAATATAAATTATATAGAATAAGTTTGGAATTAAAAAAAATAATATATATATATATATATATATATATATATATATATTATTTGAGATAACATTGTTATTTTACATTAAAAAAAAATCAAATTAATTTTTGTGATACATTATATTTTACATAAACTATTGTATAAACTTTTTTCTATTAATATTTTGATGATATATTATCGGGAATCAATATCGTTTAATTTAAAATTTTATATTGATTAACTTTATATTTTATGGATTAATTTGAAAAAAAAAAGGCGTGTTCCACGGTGTTCTGTAAGATTGTAAGTATAATTTAGTATCAGTACGTGGGTAGGAAAGTTATTAAGAATTACTAAGTAGCTTTTTATTTTATTATGAAACTTAATTATTTAAAGTTGAAAAAAATTATAATCCCTAACTTACATATTAAACTTTTAACTTCAAAATTATGAAGTTATCCAATTTATTCATTCTATTGGATCTTTATAACTAGTTACAAACTATGCATGCTTATACCTAATAAATAGAATGTTATTATTTAATTTAGGTTTTTAATATTCAATTAAGATAAATTACATAATAAATAGAATGTTATTAATTAATGATAAAATTAACGGAATATAGAAATATCATTAATTTTAATATTTTAATTATTCATGGGATTAAATATAATTAAGAGCATTAAATATTAACGGAAGCAGAGTACTTTTCATTAATGTATAAATTTTAAATATTATTTATATTAAACATTATTTAATAATGTTATTGTATGTATATATAATTTTAAATATTTGAATAAAATAATAAATATTAAACATATTTTTTGAAAAATAATTATTTGTAAGAGAATTTATTAGTGGATCATTATTATAGTTTTAGTTAGTACTATGACATATACAATACTATTTAGATTTTAAATGAATTTATATTTATATATGTAAGGATTTATTATTTATTTGATATTTTCAATATTTATTTAAGATAAATTATTTATATAATAAATCGAATGTTATCACTTAACATTAAAATTAAAGATTATTTAGAAGGTTCGTTTCAACGTTTCAACGTTTTATTTTTTAATTAAATATAATTAAGAGCGTCAAATTCAGTTTAATAAAATTATTTGTATGCATTAAATTTTTAACATTTAAGTATAATGAGATAATAAATATTAAGTATGATTTTTGTGAAAAGTAAATCTTTGCAATAAAAACTAATAGATATTATTACCAACTTATAGTTATTATTATTATAACATATATAATAGTAGTATTTAATATTTCAATTAAACAAAATAAAAAATATACATGCTGGTAAATAATTATTATTTAATTAATATTTTTATTTTTTATTTAGGAGAAATTTATATGATATTTATACGAGATAAGATGAGGTCAGAGCTTATCAATAAAATAGTATCTGAAGTTATGTATTATTAATTGTTAATTATTTAGTTTTTTGTTTTTGATTATATGAACAATTAAATTAATTCCTGAAATTAATACCATGATAAAATATTCCAATTATAAATGATTCATTTTACCTGCTAGTCTTACAATATACTTTTATATTTGACTAATAAATTATGAAGGAATAAAATTTATGGTGTATTTATGAAAGTAAAACAATGTGGGGGTTACCAGAACTAATTGTTAATATATATTTGGCAGTGATTAGTTGGATTGAGTATGGACAGTTTAAATGCATACTATAAGTGGAACACAAGACAGCGCAGAGAGCCTAACACTATGATCATGAATCAAGAGATTCATCAACTTCTCAACACAAGTTGTTATTGTTGTTGTGTTCCTCTTATCTCTCTGCTTGGAAATTCAATGAGTTTGTTTTTTACGGTGAAATCCAACATTATTTAATCATTCTCGGGGCTGCAATGCTCTAAGACAAAGCACCATGGCAACGACGAGTAATAACCCATCATGCCCTGCACCCATGAAGGCCACGTCCAACGGGGCATTCCAACATGAAAACCCTCTCGATTATGCGCTTCCTCTGTTAATCCTCCAAATTTGTTTGGTCGTTGCTTTTACTAGATTTATTGCATTCCTTTGCAAACCCCTCAGACAACCCCGAGTCGTTGCTGAGATCATCGTAAGTTTTTCTTTCCCCGCCTTGCAGTGGTCATGTACTTTGGCACTCATGGGCATTGCCATGATTTTAGTATTCAACTTCAAGTGTTTATCTTGAGTTTGTGTTGTTTGCGAATGCGTTATGTGAAAGACATTGGTAATTTTTAAAGAAAGGAAAATAAAATGTAGAAAGTGGATGAAAATGTTGAGTACATCCACACAGACAGTAATGTTATTGTTAAAATTGCAGGGAGGAATACTACTAGGGCCATCT